AGGCGCTGGAGTACAGGTGACCTCATGGAAACTTTGTGACCGTAAAGCGTTTGCTTCTGAAAGTGGGTCAAAGTCTTGATCGACCGGATAAAAATGTGAAAGCTATCAGAAGACAGAGCGGCTTTGATCTCTGTTGGTCATTTTTATCTGAGAAGAAACAAACGTCGTTGCGATCATTCCTGCCTTACATGGCACAGAAAAAGGGTCCGAAGCTGGTTTTGATCGGGAGAGTAAATCTCTGGTGCGTTTCAGGTTGAGAAGTGCAGCCTTGTTAAGGCGGCCAGACTGCGACAGCTCTGTCTTTCATAGCCGAAGCCAGCACCACCACAGTGCAAGTGTTGCAACACCGCACAGTCTTGCACATTTGACTAACGATTATGCTGCATATTACAATTTTGGTCTCACAAAAGTTAGACAATGTGTTGCTTGCTGATGGGCTGTAGGCATTTACAATTATCAGTTTATCATCCAGATTCCAGAACTGCAATGCCATTATGTCAACTTCACGAGGGTTGTCGTTTATTAGCTCTCTTACCTTCAGGTGTTCTTTCACCAGCACAGCCCTTCCTCCCTCCTACCTAGTAATCTTGTCACGTCTCCAAACTGAGTAATCCCTTGGGAACAAATCCACAAGGGCCGTGACGAGCATTCAAACCTGCGTCCGAGAGCATCCCAGACGCTGCCTTAAGCGACTGAGCTACGACATGGTCATTTGATGCATAACGCAATTGTGATTTCTGTGTGTAGTGTAGTCCCTTGGGAATACGACCTTATTTAAGACTGTCTTCAAGTTTCGTCTCTGTTATTGCAACAATATCTAGGACCTTAAGCTGAATTATATCTTTTAGTTCCAGTATTTTTTATCTCACTCCATCTATGTTAGTATATCCTATTTTCAGGAACATGTTCTCCTTCCTTTTGTCCTTTATTCCCCCTTCCACTAATAATTTTGATGCTTAGTTTTTTATGTACCATTCCACTGGCTTTCCAGTCCCTATCACTTTGTATAAAAAAAATTTCTTCTTATTCATTACTATTCCAATTTAGACGTTTTGCTTCATTAAGGTTTATTTTCTCCTTTTCTCTGTCTTCCTTTGAGAGGTCTTGTCTTAATGGCCAAGGTTTGCCATCCTCATCACTCTGCAATTTCCTGGCACTCCAGAGCACTTTCGTCATTGGTTTCACTTTTAAATGTCACCTTTAAGGGGCGATTCTTGTCTTTCTCATTTTTTCCTATCCTAAAATCAATGACATTTTCCTTTGAATTAAGGTCATCCCCATAATCTACTATTTTCTCTATGATTTTCATCTCATCTGCTGCTCTGTCCACCATACATGATATTTCCTTTTCTTAACATTCAAAAATTATTATGGACTTACTTCTATCTGCAGTGTTTTGTACTAATTTTCTGTTAGTAACCAGTTCTTTCCTAATTCCTTATCTAATTTCTGCTTCTTGTTGGTTATTTCTAGTTTTGACTTCCAAGCACACTTCGTTGATCGTCTCTTTTACAACTTGCTCATATGTTTCTTTTATTTCCTCTTTGTACTTTTCTAGTTCTTTATTAACCTTCTCTATTTGAGTTGTCCGTAAAGTTTCTCTTAGAATACGCTTGTCTAACTCCATATTGGCCTGTTGGGTCACTTGGAGTTGTTCACTATGAGTCTATTTCCTTGTTAATTTCTTCAAGTTCACCACTCTTCACTTTCCATACCTCATTTTCTTTCACTAGTTCTTTGATTTGTTCCTCCTGTCTTTACCTTGTCGGCTAAGGCGGTAATTTTGTTACGATGCAGACGAATACTTCCTTTTAGAGTGTGAAACTTACTCCTGACAGCTCCATTTTTTGTTCTAATTCAAGTACTTTTTCTTCACACACACACTGCCTTAACATGTCTTCAATACCCTCTAACCTCCCAAGAAAACCTCTGTTCCATATATCTTTTGGTGGGATTCCTTCGAGATAGTTCTCTGTTGGTGTGTGCGTGTGTGTGTATTAAACTATTTGTATTTACTATTTGTGTCTGCAGAATCGAGCAATTAGCTCTTGGACCCTGCCTTTCTAACCAATCAATTTTTCTTCTACTATATTTACTACATGTATTTGTATCACATACACACATACATCCCCAGGAAGCAGACCGTAACAGCCTGTCTAACTCCCAGTTACCTCTTAACTGCTAGGTGAACAGATGCATCAGGGAGAAAGAAACTGCCCATTTGTTTCTGCTTCGGCCGGGAATTGAACCCGGACCCTTAGGACTACGACCCCCAAGCGCTGTCCACTCAGCCGCGAGGCCCCCCTGTGTGTGTGTGTGTGTGTGTGTGTGTGTGTGTGTGTGTGTGTGTGTACTCACCTTATTGTGCTTGCGGGGGTTGAGCTCTGGCTCTTTGGTCCCGCCTCTCAACTGTCACTCAACTGGTGTACAGGTTCCTGAGCCTATTGGGCTCTATCATATCTACACTTGAAACTGTGTATGGAGTCAGCCTCCACCAGCAGTAGCAGGCATCCATCAGTCATGGGAGACTATGGAGTTACAGTCTTGTTGTCTGGCCTCTCCAGGGCGCAAAGTTATGTGGTGATGCCTCCACCACATCACTGCCTAATGCATTCCATTAGCTAACTACTCTGAAAAATGAAAAAGTTCTTTCTAATGTGTCTATGTGAGTATACTCACCTAGTGTGTGTGTGTGTGTGTGTGTGTGTGTGTGTGTGTTTACTAGTTGTGTTTTTGCGGGGGTTGAGCTTTGCTCTTTCGGCCCGCCTCTCAACTGTCAATCAACTGTTTTTAACTACTACTACTACTATTCCCCCCCCACACACACACACATAACACACACAACACACACATACACACACATACACACACACACACACACACACACACACACAAATTCTTCAGGAATCAGAAAAGGAAAAAGACTTGGGGGTTGATATCACGCCAGACCTGTCTCCTGCAGCACATATCAAGCGGATAACATCAGCGGCATATGCCAGGCTGGCCAACATACGAACGGCATTCAGAAACTTGTGTAAAGAATCATTCAGAACTTTGTATACCACATATGTCAGGCCAATCCTGGAGTATGCAGCCCCAGCATGGAGTCCATATCTAGTCAAGGATAAGACTAAACTGGAAAAGGTTCAAAGGTTTGCCACCAGACTAGTACCCGAGCTGAGAGGTATGAGCTACGAGGAGAGACTACGGGAATTAAACCTCACTTCGCTGGAAGAAAGAAGAGTTAGGGGGGACATGATCACCACATTCAAGATTCTGAAGGGAATTGATAGGGTAGATAAAGACAGTCTATTTAACACAAGGGGAACACGCACAAGGGGACACAGGTGGAAACTGAGTGCCCAAATGAGCCACAGAGATATTAGAAAGAACTTTTTTAGTGTCAGAGTGGTTGACGAATGGAATGCATTAGGAAGTGATGTGGTGGAGGTTGACTCCATACACAGTTTCAAGTGTAGATATGATAGAGCCCAGTAGGCTCAGGAACCTGTACACCTGTTGATTAACGGTTGAGAGGCGGGACCAAAGAGCCAGAGCTCAATCCCCGCAAACACAACTAGGTGAGTACACCAGGAAGCAGCCCGTGACAGCTGACTAACTCCCAGGTACCTATTTACTGCTAGGTAACAGGGGCATAGGGTGAAAGAAACTCTGCCTATCGTTCCTTGCCGGCTCCCGGGATCGAACCCGGGACCACAGGATCACGTGCCCAGCGTGCTGTCCACTCGGCCGGCCGGCCCCTATATGTGTGTGTGTGTGTTTGTGTGTAATCACCTAGTTGTACTTACCTATTTGTGCTTGCGGGGGTTAAGCTCGGCTCTTTGGTTCCGCCTCTCAATTGTCAATCAACTGGTGAGGTGTGTGTGTTTATAAACTATTTATATGTACTATTCGTGTCTGCAGAATCGAGCTATTAGTTCTTGGACCCCGCCTTTCTAATCAATTTATTTTACCTCTATTATGTCTGCTTCATATATTTCTTTCTAACATACACACGCACACATATCCAAAGGAAGCAGCCCGTAGCAGCTGTCTAACTCCCAGGTACTTATGTTCTGCTAGGTGAACAGACCCATTAATGTGAAAGAAACTCTGCCCATTTGTCTCTGTGCGTGTGTGTGTGTGTGTGTGTGTGTGTGTGTGTGTGTGTGTGTGTGTGTGTGTGTGTGTGTGTGTGTGTGTGCGCGCGTGCGTGCGTGTGTGTGTGTGTGTGTGTGTGTGTGTGTGTGTGTGGTGTATGTGTGTGTGTGTGTGTGTGTGTGTGTGTGCGCGCGCGCGTGCGTGTGTGTGTGTGGAAGAGAGGAAGGGGATGTTTGTGAGTGCTGGAAGTGAAGGTCTTAACACCATAAAGTATAAGGAAATATAGAGATATCTGATATGATTTATGCCGCTCTTGTGACTTAAGTTGTTCATGGAAATGTGCGGGGAGGTTTTCCCTCTAATTCAACAGAGTTCTTGGTAAAGCAATCACTGTGAGAGTAGATGGACTGGCCGAGACAGAGGGCGCCTGGGAGTCAATCACTAGGGAAGATGTCCAGATTACCACTTCCGCTTGAGATATAGTGACAAGAACATAAAACTAAATTGGTGCAGAGGGAGAGGGAGAGAGAGAGAGAGAGAGAGAGAGAGAGAGAGAGGGAGAGAGGGAGAGAGGAGGGAGAGAGAGAGAGAGAGAGAGAGAGAGAGAGAGAGGGAGAGAGAGAGAGAGAGAGAGACAGAGAGAGAGAGAGAGAGAGAGAGAGAGAGAGAGAGAGAGAGAGAGAGAGAGAGAGAGAGAGAGAGAGAGAGAGAGAGAGAGAGAGAGAGAGAGAGAGAGAGAGAGAGAGAGAGAGAGAGAGAGAGAGAGAGAGAGAGAGAGAGAGAGAGAGAGAGAGGAAGAGAGAGATAGACAGACAGGCAATCACCTAAACAAACAAACAAGATGGCTACCTTTTTATTCACAGTATTAATGTGAGAGAATTAGAAAGAGGAAGAAATACAGAGACTGATAGACACAGTGTTGCCAGCGTGGAGGTCATCTTTACTGCCAGTGTTGCCAGCGTGGAGGTCATCTTTACTGCCAGTGTTGCCAGCGTGGAGGTCATCTTTACTGTCAGTGTTGCCAGCGTGGAGGTCATCTTTACTGTCAGTGTTGCCAGCGTGGAGGTCATCTTTACTGCCAGTGTTGCCAGCGTGGAGGTCATCTTTACTGCCAGTGTTGCCAGCGTGGAGGTCATCTTTACTGTCAGTGTTGCCAGCGTGGAGGTCATCTTTACTGCCAGTGTTGCCAGCGAGGAGGTCATCTTTACTGTCAGTGTTGCCAGCGTGGAGGTCATCTTTACTGTCAGTGTTGCCAGCGTGGAGGTCATCTTTACTGCCAGTGTTGCCAGCGTGGAGGTCATCTTTACTGCCAGTGTTGCCAGCGTGGAGGTCATCTTTACTGTCAGTGTTGCCAGCGTGGAGGTCATCTTTACTGCCAGTGTTGCCAGCGTGGAGGTCATCTTTACTGCCAGTGTTGCCAGCGTGGAGGTCATCTTTACTGCCAGTGTTGCCAGCGTGGAGGTCATCTTTACTGCCAGTGTTGCCAGCGTGGAGGTCATCTTTACTGCCAGTGTTGCCAGCGTGGAGGTCATCTTTACTGTCAGTGTTGCCAGCGTGGAGGTCATCTTTACTGCCAGTGTTTCCAGCGTGGAGGTCATCTTTACTGCCAGTGTTGCCAGCGTGGAGGTCATCTTTACTGCCAGTGTTTCCAGCGTGGAGGTCATCTTTACTGCCAGTGTTGCCAGCGTGGAGGTCATCTTTATGGTCAGTGTTGCCAGCGTGGTCATCTTTATGGTCAGTGTTGCCAGCGTGGAGGTCATCTTTACTGCCAGTGTTGCCAGCGTGGAGGTCATCTTTACTGCCAGTGTTGCCAGCGTGGAGGTCATCTTTATGGTCAGTGTTGCCAGCGTGGAGGTCATCTTTATGGTCAGTGTTGCCAGCGTGGAGGGCATCTTTACTGCCAGTGTTGCCAGCGTGGAGGTCATCTTTATGGTCAGTGTTGCCAGCGTGGAGGTCATTTTTATGGTCAGTGTTGCCAGCGTGGAGGGCATCTTTACTGCCAGTGTCAGGCACACTCACACTCACACACACACACACACACACACACACTCACACACACACATACACACACACACACACATACACACACACACACACACACACACACACACACACACACACACACACACACACACACACACACACACACACGTGATTAGACAATCGAGGGTCCAAGAGCCGAAGCTCGATCTTGCAGGCACAAATAGGTAGAACACAACTAGGGCAATACCCACTCCAAACCCCCCAAGTGCCCTCCGTAACAAGGAGTGAGAACCGACGCTCCCAAACACACACTTCCGGGGATTCAAATGGACTCGAATCAAATTTTTGCTACTTTACAGTAATTGTTTGTAGTGAAAAATGTCCTCTTTGTGCAGCTGAGCCTTGAGAGAGTGGCTCAAGAAGCCGGCAACACTCACTCAAGGGGGGGGGGGCTGGAAGCCGGCTATCCACTCACTCAAGAAGGGGGGGGAGCCGGGGAGCCGGCTACATTTAAGAGGAGCCGGCTACATTTAAGAGGAGCCAGTTACATTTAAGAGAAGCCAGTTACATTTAAGAGGAGCCGGCTACATTTAAGAGGAGCCGGCTACATTTAAGAGGAGCCGGCTACATTTAAGAGGAGCCGGCTACATTTAAGAGCCGGCTACAATTAAGAGCCGGCTACATTTAAGAGGAGCCGGCTACATTTAAGAAAGGGGAGTCGGCTACATTTAAGATAGGGGGACCCGGCTACATTTAAGAGAGGGGGAGCCGGCTATCTACTCATTCAAGGAGGGGGGGCGGGGAGCCGGCTACATTTAGTAGAGGGGAGCCGGCTACATTTAGGAGAGAGGAGCCGGCTACATTTAAGAGAGGGGGAGCTGGCTACATTTAGGAGAGAGTAGCCGGCTACATTTAAGAGAGGGGAGTCGGCTACATTTAGGTGAGGGGAGCCGGCTACATTTAAGATTGGGGGAGCCGGCTACATTTAAGAGAGGGGGAGCCGGCTACATGTAAGAGAAGGGGAGCCGGCTATATTTAAGAGAGGGGGAGCCGGCTACATGTAAGAGAAGGGGAGCCGGCTACATTTAAGAGAGGGGGAGCCGGCTACATTTAAGAGAGGGGGAGCCGGCTACATGTAAGAGAAGGGGAGCCGGCTATATTTAAGAGAGGGGGAGCCGGCTACATTTAAGAGAAGGAGAGCCGGCTACATTTAAGAGGAGAGCCGGATACATTTAAGAGAAGGGGAGCCAGCTACATTTAAGAGGAGCCGGTTACATTTAAGAGAAGGGGGAGCCGGCTACATTTAAGAGGAGAGCAGGCTACATGTAAGAAAAGGGGAGCCGGCTATATTTAAGAGGAGCCGGTTACATTTAAGAGAAGGGGGAGCCGGCTACATTTAAGAGGAGAGCCGGCTACATGTAAGAGAAGTAGAGCCGGCTATATTTAAGAGAGGGGGAGCCGGCTACATTTAAGAGAAGGGGAGCCGGCTACATTTAAGAGGAGAGCCGGCTACATTTAAGAGGAGAGCCGGCTACATTTAAGAGAAGGGGAGCCGGCTACATTTAAGAGAAGGGGAGCCGGCTACATTTAAGAGAAGGGGAGCCGGCTACATTTAAGAGAGGGGGAGCCGGCTACATTTAAGAGAGGGGGAGCCGGCTACATTTAAGAGAGGGGGAGCCGGTTACATTTAAGAGAGGGGAGCCGGCTATATTTAAGAGAAGGGAGCCGGCTACATTTAAGAGAATGGAGCCGGCTACACTTAAGAGAAGGGAGCCGGCTACACTTAAGAGAAGGGAGCCGGCTACACTTATGAGAAGGGGAGCCGGCTACATTTAAAGAGAGGGGGAGCCGGCTACATTTAAGAGAGGGGGAGCCGGCTACATTTAAGAGAGGGGGAGCCGGCTACATTTAAGAGGGGGGAACCGGCTACATTTAAGAGAGGGGAGCCGGCTACTTTTAAGAGAAGGGAGCCGGCTACATTTAAGAGAAGGGAACAGGCAACATTTAAGAGAAGGGAACCGGCTACATTTAAGAGAGGGGAGCCGGCTACATTTAAGAGAGGGGGAGCAGGCTACATTTAAGAGAGGGGGAGCCGGCTACATTTAAGAGAGGGGGAGCCGGCTACATTTAAGAGAAGGGGAGCCGGCTACACTTATGAGAAGGGGAGCCGGCTACATTTAAAGAGAGGGGGAGTCGGCTACATTTAAGAGAGGGGGAGCCGGCTACATTTAAGAGAAGGGAACCGGCTACATTTAAAGAGAGGGGGAGTCGGCTACATTTAAGAGAGGGGGGAGCCGGCTAAATTTAAGAGAGGGGGAGCCGGCTACATTTAAGAGAGGGGGAGCCGGCTACATTTAAGAGAGGGGGATCCGGCTACATTTAAAGAGAGGGGGAGCCGGCTACATTTAAGAGAAGGGGAGCCGGCTACACTTATGAGAAGGGGAGCCGGCTACATTTAAGAGAGGGGGAGCCGGCTACATTTAAGAGAGGGGGAGCCGGCTACATTTAAGAGAGGGGGAGCCGGCTACATTAGCCGGCCAGCAAGTGGAGAGACAGACAAGTTTATATTCGAAGAATTCTCCCAAAAAACATATTATAGATGAATTAATTATAAATAGGAATTCAGTAAGAAAACTCAACAACTGGCCAACCGCAACAAGTAAATGGATCAACTCTGGACAAATGTTTAATTTACATTATTGGCAACTACATGTTTTAAACATCTGAGGGGTTGGTACCTCTTATGAGAGGTTGGTACCTCTTATGAGGGGTTGGTACCTCTTATGAGGGGTTGGTACCTCTTATGAGGGGTTGGTACCTCTTATGAGGGGTTGGTACCTCTTATGAGGGGTTGGTACCTCTTATGAGGGGTTGGTACCTCTTATGAGGGGTTGGTACCTCTTATGAGGGGTTGGTACCTCTTATGAGGGGTTGGTACCTCTTATGAGGGGTTGGTACCTCTTATAAGGGGTTGGTACCTCTTATGAGGGGTTGGTACCTCGTATGAGGGGTTGGTACCTCTTATGAGGGGTTGGTACCTCTTATGAGGGGTTGGTACCTCTTATGAAGGGTTGGTACCTCTTATGAGGGGTTGGTACCTCTTATGAGGGGTTGGTACCTCTTATGAAGGGTTGGTCTGTGACACAGGCCTGTGATACAGGCCTGTGTCACAGGTCTGTGACACAGACCTGTGACACAGGCCTGTGATACAGGTCTGTGACACAGACCTGTGACACAGGCCTGTGATACAGGTCTGTGACACAGACCTGTGACACAGGCCTGTGATACAGGTCTGTGACACAGACCTGTGGCACAGCTCCACACATACCCTCCCCGAGGCGCCCCACTGTCTGTATATACCGTCAAAGGTGACTTGAGGGCCACGGGGGAGATCTACATATTATTATAACCTGTTAGTCTCCTGCTTGTGTCTGTCTGTCTCAGCCTTACCACGTGCAAGGGACGCCCAGAGTCCCTCGGGGCCCCCCTCACCTCAAAGGCCCTGTTCCTGGTAACCATTTGTGTAAGTTGTTATGAATAAAGCTGCTTTCTGTCTCTGTCTGTGTCTGTCTGTCCTCATTGCTTTATTTATGAACGAAGATCGTTGATTCACGTGCAGACAGGTGTTGCTTGACGCAACACCTGTCATTGCTTGACGCAACAGGTGTGGAGACAGGTGTTTGTGTTGTTTCTTGACGCAGCAGGTGTGGAGACAGGTGTTTGTTCCTTCACGCAGCAGGTGTGGAGACGAGTGAACAGAGGCATCAGAAGCAACTAACGAGGCAGATGTTCCACTTGTAGGGAGGCTACCTGTAGGGAGGCTACCTGTAGGAGGCTACCTGTAGGGAGGCTACCTGTAGGGAGGCTACCTGTAGGAGGCTACCTGTAGGGAGGCTACCTGTAGGGAGGCTACCTGTAGGGAGGCTACCTGTAGGGAGGCTACCTGTAGGGAGGCTACCTGTAGGGAGGCTACCTGTAGGGAGGCTACCTGTAGGAGGCTACCTGTAGGGAGGCTACCTGTAGGGAGGCTACCTGTAGGAGGCTACCTGTAGGAGGCTACCTGTAGGGAGGCTACCTGTAGGAGGCTACCTGTAGGGAGGCTACCTGTAGGAGGCTACCTGTAGGAGGCTACCTGTAGGGAGGCTACCTGTAGGAGGCTACCTGTAGGGAGGCTACCTGTAGGGAGGCTACCTGTAGGGAGGCTACCTGTAGGAGGCTACCTGTAGGGAGGCTACCTGTAGGAGGCTACCTGTAGGGAGGCTACCTGTAGGGAGGCTACCTGTAGGGAGGCTACCTGTAAAGAGGCTACCTGTAGGAGGCTACCTGTAGGGAGGCTACCTGTAGGGAGGCCACCTGTAGGGAGGCCACCTGTAGGGAGGCCACCTGTAGGGAGGCTACCTGTAGGGAGGCTACCTGTAGGGAGGCTACCTGTAGGGAGGCTACCTGTAGGGAGGCCACCTGTAGGGAGGCTACCTGTAGGGAGGCTACCTGTAGGGAGGCCACCTGTAGGGAGGCTACCTGTAGGGAGGCTACCTGTAGGGAGGCCACCTGTAGGGAGGCCACCTGTAGGGAGGCTACCTGTAGGGAGGCTACCTGTAGGGAGGCCACCTGTAGGGAGGCTACCTGTAGGGAGGCTACCTGTAGGAGGCCACCTGTAGGGAGGCTACCTGTAGGGAGGCCACCTGTAGGGAGGCTACCTGTAGGAGGCTACCTGTAGGGAGGCTACCTGTAGGGAGGCTACCTGTAGGGAGGCTACCTGTAGGGAGGCTACCTGTAGGAGGCTACCTGTAGGGAGGCTACCTGTAGGGAGGCTACCTGTAGGGAGGCTACCTGTAGGGAGGCCACCTGTAGGGAGGCCACCTGTAGGAGGCTACCTGTAGGGAGGCCACCTGTAGGGAGGCCACCTGTAGGGAGGCTACCTGTAGGGAGGCTACCTGTAGGGAGGCTACCTGTAGGGAGGCTACCTGTAGGGAGGCTACCTGTAGGGAGGCTACCTGTAGGAGGCTACCTGTA